ATTATTAAAACTTATTTAGAATTCATTAACTAAAATAATAATTAAATCTCTAATAAAATATTCATATTTTATAGATGTACATATTTAGATTCTAATCTATGTTGGTATGTATATCAGTATGTATATATTAACATCATATCACTTTTACATTTAAAACTATCAATAATTAAACTGCATAATAAAACTACCTTAAAGTCCTAATCGATAGATATATATACACGTAAATATCGGTTGTGTGATGTTTATATATGTATAGTTATCTAATTGCCATTAATTTTATTTATTTTTATTTTTGGTTAAAAGGCTTTTGCCACCAATTTTAACTTAACTAAAAATTTGAAAATTAAAGCTAAAGACAATTTAAAAAACATTATTCTGCATAATGTGCGGGTGAATTCCTAGTTGACTATTGAGTGAATTATATATAGGCAGTCGTCTAGGGCTGGGAAAAAAACCAAACCAAACTGAACTTTGGTATAAGTTCGGTTTAAAGATAAAAAATAATAGGCATTTTATAGTAAGAGTTCGGTTTCTTCGGTTTAAAAACGAAAACCTATTACAAAACCAACCAATCTGCCTTATGACCCAACTCAAACATGCATATATAGACATACTAATGTTGATAAATTATCATGGATATGTTTGTGTGGATAATCATGTATATACATGACCTATGTTTGATTTTATAACAAAACCTCTCATTTTGTGGACTAAATAGTTTATATGACTGATTTACATTACAAATAGTCTGGGCATGTTTCTGTGAACAATTATTCGTGTATATGGACATGAAATTCGTGAACAACGGCCCATGTAAAAAAATATATATTATAAAATATGAGAACAATTTCGCTTAAACTGTGATAATATTTTACTTATATATTGCTCAATATATATATTGCGTACAACTTCACTTAAACTGTAACAAATTGATATTATTTCGATCTTAACTGATTCTTACTTCTAGAAATTGGACGTTGTAAACTCGGAGCAATACCACTTTAAGATATCCTACAAGTATAAAGAAGCGTCATAATAAGGAGGTATCCAATTCTCAATAAATATCCATACATTTTTATTTTTATTAAATTCGATTTATATAAGTAAGCATAAAGTAAAATGACTTTAAAAGATATGTTGTTAGGAAAGCTACATCAAACATATAATTGTTCACACAAAACCAGAAATATGGCAGTAAAATATTTGAAATGCCCAAAATTATCTAAAAACTATAACACGGCTCTTTGGGGAAAACAATTTGTTTATACAAAGCAAGGAGTCCCATAAACATGTCCAGAACTTGACATACAAGTTGTTGTTCAAAAGGTTTAAAAATTTAGATTTTTGAAAGACATCGATCTCTTGCCCCGCACACACATGGAGAAAGGAGCTAGGAACGGTTTCCTCAAGGAAACATCAAGCAAGGTAAAAAAAAGTCATCCATTTCATGTTGTCTTTATCTCTTGACACTACTACTATCAACTAGTTTGTATCATCAACGTTACAGATCTCAATTGAATGTCTTGCGAAGAAAGTTATGGGCGAGATGGAACCAGAGGCGAGCGAAAGAACTCGCACTCTGTTGGATATATTTTCCGAGTGGCTGGTTTCGGTTCTCTTTCAACCTTCCGGGGACGGGTGTCTATAACATGATGAAGGTAAGTGTTTTCAATAGCATATGCATATGATTTTTTTGTACAAAGTGATCTGAGGCCATTATGGTAAATAGCAGGCAAAAAAGAAGATGATGAAATTACTAAAGGATACAGTGTTGAAGAAGAGAGCATCAGGAGAGGAGTTTGGGGAGTTCTTCAAGATCATCTTTGGAGAAAAGGAAGGAGGAGAGGAAACAATGAGCGTAGAGAACGCTATGGAGGTCATATATACCTTCTTCCTGTAAAGCTCATAAGCAATCACAGGTTCTTGCCGCTACACAGGTTCTTGCCGCTACAGTAAAGCTCATAAGCAATCACCCCAAAGTCATGCAGGAGCTGCAGAGAGAACATGAGGAAATTGTCTGGAGTAAGACTGGGAAGGAGGCCGGCCTAACATGGGAAGACTACAAATCCATGACTTTCACACAGATGGTCTGTATATGCCAAAATTATACTCGCACACACCTATATTATTAGGGATTAGGAAGTGTGTAAAAAATATCTAACATGGATAACTCTCGGCTGGTTATATACCATTCGAGGTTGCTAGTTTGAATACTGTAATAAAGTAGTGCTGTATAAAGCTTCTGAGCTCTGCTATATAAAAGCTATATATATACCAATTCATGAGTATATATCTAACTACAAATATCAGAAAAGTTCTCAAAGTTTACTTTTTATATTTATTTTTAGTGCTCTCTTAATAATGTAACCAAATATTTGTTTTTATCGACACGTTTTATAAATACAGTTGGCTCATAATTTCCGACACATTTTATAAATACAGTTTTCTAAATGATGTAACCAAATATAAAGAATGACAAAACCTATATATATAGAGTTGGCTCATGAGTTAGTGAATTTTGACAGGTTATACAGTCCCTGCTGGGTGGTTATTTTTTGGCATTCCTCAAGTTCATTTCGATGAAGAAAAGTATAGGGATCCTCTCACCTTTAATCCATGGAGGTAGCAGGTGATTCATTATGAGTGTTAATTGGGAAAACACACCAAAACATTAATATATATATATATATATATATATTAAGTATAAACATTAATTTTGTTGTATCGATAGAAAAGATATACACGGTACGATATCCAGGGATTACATGCCGTTTGGAGCTGGTGCTACTCATTGCGTAGGGTCTGAGTTTGCAAATCTCACCATCGCGATCGTGCTCACCATTTGTCCAGAAACAGGTTTTAATTTAAACTCCATTATATTACTCGATTTTTAAGACTTAATATGATGTTTTGAGCATAACTTAACCGACATGATATTTTTTGTTTGATTAGGTGGACATTGGGCCCAAAAACAAGAGTGCTTCGAAAGTACTCACTTATTTTCCCGGCTGGCTGCAAGGTCCACATCTCCAAGGATCTGACAGACGATCATTGAACATTGGTTTCACATTATGTTAATTTCTTGTATAATAGTTGTTGTTTCCTGTATTGATAATCCGGCCATTGCCGGTACGTTTGTCTGTTCATTATTTTCTTTCTAATAACCTATTACATTTACAATATAAGGCCTAACTAGATTCTAACCCCGTGCGGACGTACAAAAATTTTATATTTTTTATTTCTAATATATATTTTTTTAATAAAATTTATTTTTGTTATTTATTTTTTAAAATCAAGAATTTTGTTATCATGTTTTAATTTTGAATAATATAAATTTGTATATTAGTAGAATAAGAGTATGAGTTAATTGAGTAATTGATCTAATGTTAATTATAATTTTTTTTATTATGTAAATTTAGATTTACACATAAACAATTTACATATCTATGAACTGGCTAACCCGTCCGTTTAGTTATCTCAAATTATTTTTTTAATATTTTACATTGACAAACTAATCCGGATAAAACTGTATTTATAAATGCATAACTCTAACTTGTTCTATTATTTTATTATATAATATAATTATTTATCAATAGTGAATATTTTATATTTTAGACCGATTGATAATGATAAAATACAATAAAATATTCATTTACCATTTGTGTTATTATGAAAATTTTATTTAAATCTAACATGTATTTAAGAAATTCTCAAGTAACTACAATTATTATCTACATAATAAATTTATTTATAATTGTTTTCTAAATTTAAATTAAATTAAATCTAATTTTTGTAACTAAATTTAATTAATAAAAAATTTGAATAATTTGAAATTTAAATTAAATATGACATATATTTAAGGAAATCTAACAATATTTAAATTAATAACTAATTTTCAAAATTTAATATAATATAAAATAAAATATTTTAAAAAAATTGTAGGTGTGTTTGGAAATAGGCACTAAATGTGCTTCTGTTTTAATAGAATAAACATTCCCTTTAATTTGTTGTTACTGTTTTTTTTTTGTGTGTTTAATGGTTTAATGTCAGATACAAATTTTTGACATCAATCTGTAGAGAACTGCCAACAAAAAGATTAACCCTAATTAAAATATGCACAAAGACTAAATTACCCATATACAATATAAGGCCTAATATTCCCTTCAAGTTGGAACATGAAAATCTTGAATGTCCAACTTGGAAAGAAGATAATGAAAGTTGGTTGTCCCAATGCCTTCATGAAAATGTATGTCAATTGTTCCTTGGTGTACACATGAGACGTTGTAATAATCCCTACATTTATATCATCTCGAATAAAGTAACTTGGAGAGGATGTCACAATTCTTTTCCACGGGACGGTTGCATGGCTTATGTACAAAGGGGTGTGCAGGACCAAGAGTGGTACAACCATTTGGAATTAAGCAGACTGACCCCGATGAGTTAGATTATATTAATAATGGTTTAAACCAAAAACCTATTCAAACACTAGAAGATTACAGATATTATGATCGTAGGGAAGAATAGGGGAATGGGTACTATGTTCTTCGGATAGCCGTTATAATAAAGACATTAAAAGCAATGTACCATACTATCTGAATAACAATATTAAAGGCTACCCATCTCTCATCTTCATTTGAATAACAGTATTAAAGGCTATACTTTTGCTTCTCCAAGAGGTGATTTTGTTATCTATTTTTCCTCCCGATACACAATCAAAATAATGTTAAATTGTTAATTATGATGAGAATAATATTTTTGTTTTTTGGGTAGATAGCGGTGATTACGACATTCATTGCTAAGATCATCCAATTATGGATAGGTACTGGAGGGCGTGGATGATGATACAGAACCAACTTGCTAGATACACGAAGACTTGTTCAAGTAAAATGACATTTGCCACCGTCAAAAGCAAGTTTTTCTAGTTTCTGTTTTCTTCTTCCATTTATTCCATTTGATTAAACTTGGTCTGTATGGTCATGCCTTAATTAGTACCAGAATCATAACACAACCCATTTATTAAGCATTTAGAAGCTTTACATATTGTGAGTGGAGAAATTAGACCAAGACATCAAGAATTGGGGAAGCAAAGGCATGTAGTTCTTGGTTCTGCTCGAACAATGACATGTCCTCTTCATGCAGTGTCACCCACGCTTCGATTCCTTCCCCGTCCTTTGCATCGATTAAAACCGATACATTGTCTAACGCCGGAAATACATTCCCGGCAACCCAAACCGGCGACCCCCATCCAAAACTAGAGTCGTAAAGCTGCAGCTTGCACCAGCTACTCACGGTGTATGGCTCGTGAGTCTCGTAGCTTAACTTGGAGTAACTATCCATCATTTGACCAACCAATTTCAAACCGATCGTCATTGATGATCCTTCTTCATCTTGGACCAAAAGGGCTAACTCATCTGCCCTTTTTTTTAGCTCCTTAACAGCTTCCACAATCTCCACCTCGTCTTTTCCGGATCCGTTCAAGGTCATGGTTGAGAACATGAGGTTACCGATTAGGTTTTCGGACAAAAGGGAAGGTATCTTGGAGCGCAAGTTAGCAGGTTGGACCAACACTTTCTCGCGAGTTGTGTCTGGCGATGCAGCCACAACACATCTCCATAGAAGTGAAGTCACGCTCTGGACCCGAGTGGGTCGAGGCACGGCATCTACACTAGCGGCTTTGCTCTTGAGCTCTTCCACCTTAGATGCTACAAACACAAATCTCTTCGTAACACTTTTTCGCTTACCGGCTTGATCTTCCACTGGAACTTTAAAAGCCTCATTGGCTGGTGGGTAGAGCTTTGTGGCAGCAAACTCTGGACTCGCCACTGAATCGCTCTCTCCTCGAGCAGTGGTAGCCCAAGCCCGAATAAAAGTCGAGAGAGAGGCTGCATCAGCGAGCTTATGGGAGATGCTAATCCCGATGGCCATACCGCCGCACTGGAAGTAGGTCGCCTTAACCAGAAGCAATGGCCATGTAGGAGTTGCCACGGCATCTAGAGGAAGAAAGTGTTGTAGGGATTCGAAATCTGGAGATCTGAGAAAATCAGAGAGAGAACAGTTATCGACCCGTGCGTCGACAAAGAGGGCACCTTCGTTGTTGCAGTCCACGTTGACTCCCCTGATTCTGCCGGCAAAAGGGTGGAATCTTGTCAAGGTTTGGGACAGAGAATTCTTGAGTTTGTGTGAAGTGTGTTCTTGCGACGAGATCGAATCATCTTTGGTGTAGAAAAGAAAAGCGACGGTGTAAACTGGAGGCATTAGGTGATCAACCATAGAGAGTTGGAGAGTTCGTAGATCATTTGGAGCAGATGGCTTTATGATTTCCTGTGAGATAGTTTCGACCTTCATTGTCTCCATCGTTTATTCTTTCTCGATCTTTCCTTCTTTTTTTTTTCGCTTTTCCTTGGTTCTTTCTCCTCTTTCTTTTTGGACGAAGCGAGATAAATATTTATAGAAAATGACAAAATTTTATGTAAAATCCAAAAATTCAATACTCTACACATTCGTATTATTTATTAACAATAATTTGTTTGAATAAGATATATGCCTACAGTACATGGATATATAACTTCGAAGGATTGTAGTGACATCGTTGGCACAATCTTTGATTAGCTGTAACTAAATCTAATAATAAAAGAAGAAATGCATAGGTTAATAGTTTTTTAAAATCTGATTATCTTTTAAACCCTATCTTATCCTCTAAATCTACATCATCGATTATCAAATTGATTGAAGTTCTAACAGATCATATTATTTATATATACTAGGTCATGAGCCCCGCGAAATGGGGGGAAATAATGTATATTAAATTCTTAATTATTTTAAATATTTCTAAGTAAACTTACATATAACAAAAGGTAGTAAACATATATATAACAAAAAGTGATGATACTTAGATATAAATATCTAATTTTGTTTTTTTTTAAAATAACTACTATTGTAAAAAATATGTAGATATGACTTTCAAAAATATAAAAAGACAAAGATGAACAAAGCCGTTCAAATCAATTAACACACATTTCAACATATACATCCATATAAAAGACAACTATATAATTGACACTGAGAAAAAGTTAAACAACGATTATAACTTACATAATCAATTTTATCGATAGAACTCAATCATTGATAGATATATTTTTACAATGAGAAGTTTTGAAAATCATTATCATGATAGGAAATGTTAAAATCTCCAAACAAAGAGAATAAATTTCTAGTACAAATCATGTATGAAAAAATTTAAATTTTTCATGATCTGTAAAAAAAATAAATTAGATTTTAAACCATTAGAAATAGTTTTGATACATTTTAAATCAACATTTTCTTTAGAAAACCTAAAATTGACTTGAATTTATTACATCATATAGCATTGGACATATTATATTGGAATAACAAATTTTTAATTGTGTGATATTAGTCAATTTTTTAACTCGTTAGCTGTACCAAAAATACACATTTGAGAGAACTATGGTGGCTCACCATCACATGATAGTACAGATCAAATAAAATAATAATTTTCACCATAGACCTTGAAACAATATATCCCATATGTATTTTTTGAACAGAATAGAAGTAAAAGTTAGGAAAGAATTATATGCTCTTATATATCGGAGAAACAAAAGTTCATTTAAAAGCTTAACTAATAATGGTGGAGGCTCACGAGCAGTAGGAAGTAAAACACGGCCTTGTTTGCAACAAATTAAGAACAATGGCTGTTTACTAACTGCATCTGTTTCAGTATTTTCTAATGATCAAACCCAGGCATACAATCGAAACATTGCATTAAGTTATTGTTTTTTTTTTCTTTTTTCGTGGTCTTCATCCTTTTCCTTTAAATTTTTAATATTATTAGTTCTAATATATTTAAAAAAAAATTATGATACTATGACTAGCAATAGAAATACTCACTACTCCAATTTTTTTTGGGGATAATGCTATTTTTTATATTGGTTAAAAATCACCATCTATTCAAAAAATGAAAATTTTAATTATTATATATAAATTAACATTCCAAATGTTTTTTTTTAAATTATATAATTTAAGTGACGTATTATTAATCGAAGATTGTTGTTGGGAACACTTTCTAATTCTATTGAATTTGAAGTATTCATTGATTTTTTAAACTATCATGTGAGAAAAATATTTTTAAAATATTATATTCATTTCATATAACAAAAAGTGATGATACTTAGATATAAATATCCAAATATTTTTTTTAAATAACTACTATTGTAAAAAATATATAGATACGACTTTCAAAAATATAAAGAGACAAAGACGAACGAAGTCGTACAAAGCAATTAACACACATTTGAACATATACATCCATATAAAAGATAATTCAACATATACATCCAGATAAAAGACAACTATACAATTGACATTGAGAAAAAGTTAAACAACAATTATAACCAACATAAACAATTTTATCGGTAGAACTCAATCGTTGATAGATATATTTTTACAATGAGAAGTTTTAAAAATCAGTATTATGATATGAAATGTTAAAATCTCCAAACAAAGAGAATAAATTTCTAGTACAAAATCTTTTATAAAAAAAATTCGAATTTGTCATGATCTGTAAAAAATATAGAACAAAATTAGATTTTAAACCATTAGAAATAGTTTTGATACATTTTAGGTCTAGGAAACTTAAAATTAACATGAATTTATTACATCATATAGCATTGAACATATTATATTGGCTTAACAAATTCTTAACTGTGTGATATTAGACAATTTTTTATCTCGTTAGCTGTACCAAAAATATACATTTGAGAGAACTTTGGTGACTCACCATTACATGGTAGTACAGACCCAATAAGATGATAATTTTCACCATAGACCTTGAAACAATATATCCCATATGTATTTTGAACAGAATAGAAGTAAAAGCTAGGACAAAATTATATGCTCTTATATATCGGAGAAACAAAAGTGGAGGCTCACCAGCAGTAGGAAGTAAAACACGGCCTTTATTGCAACAAATTGAGAACAATGGCTGTTTACTAATTGCATCTGTTTCAGTACTTTCTAATGACCAAACTCAGACATTACAATCGGGACATTGCATTAAGTTATTATTTGGTTCCTTTTTTCGTGGTCTTCATCCTTTTACTTTAAATTTTTAAAATTATTAGTTCTAATATATTAAAAAAAAAAGTTATGATATTATGACTAGCAATAGAAATACTCACTATTCTAATTTTTTTGGGATAATGCTATTTTTTTATATTGGTTAAAAATCACCATCTATTCAAAAATAAAAATTTTAATTAATATATGTAAATTAACATTCCAATTTTTTCTTTTAAAAAGTATATAATTTAAGTGACGTATTATTAATTGAAGATTATTGTTGGGAGAAATTCTATTGAATTTGCAGTATTCATTGATTTTTTATACTATCCTGCGAGCAAAATATTTTTAAAATATTATATTAACTTTTTATTAAAGTTTTACACCCTTAAATGGAGAATAACAAAATAACAATTAAAACATTATCAGCCAAGTTTTAGAAACATTCTACATGTGTAAATTTTAAAAAATGAAAAAGCCAATACATAATCAATTTGATCAAATTATTGAATAAATAATACATTCTTTGTTTAGCAATAGTAAACTCATAGATCTTTTGTCAATAGTATTAGTCTATTAGAAAAATTTGTAACGGTAGCAGAAACTTCAACTTTATGGCATTTAACATGTGAGTTGTATGCTTGATAAATAGAATGTTTACCCATCTCTAAATAAAAATAAAAACAAAAACTGTGGCTTATATATATATATATAATTTGTTAGATATTTGTACTTTTTAATGAAAAGTTGTGCCTCTTTAATAAGTAATTTTGTTTTTATTTTGAAAAGATACAATGCTTAAATATTGAAAAATAAATTATTTAAATTTTGAACAATTGCAATGGTTTAATAATTATTAGCTCAAGATGTGCAATGGTTAGTAAATTAACCTTAATTTCAAGAGTTGAAATAGTTGATAAAATAACCATAATCTCTAGAATTGCAATGTTTAGTAAAATAACCATAAACTCGATAGTTGCAATGATTCACCAAAATAACCATAACACTTAAATCTCCAACATTCATTTCCTATTAAAATGTAATCATAGATTCACTTAATAAACAACACATATAAAAATAAAATAAAAACCAAAATATATGTATAACCATACAATATCTAGTAGTTAAATAAAAAAATATAATTAAAAATATATTTAATGGAAAGACACAACGGTTCATTCGTAACTTTTCACAGTAAAGTACAATTTAAAAAAAAATAAACGAAAAAGACACAACTTTATAATAATGATAATATTTTCATATTAATAACTGTTATACACAAAAGGGTAAAATTAATTTGAAAATAATAATATATAAAAAAAGAAAATGGTTCATTCATAGTTTTTTCATATCGTTATTTTCTTCATAGATTTATGTTCTTTTTTGTTCTTCCTAGTGTTTTCTTTTGTCTTGAAACTTTTTTTGTGATTTTTTTTAAGACTAAAATCTTAGTCACTTTTACATAAATTGACTTCTTCTTTGTCTTCTTTTTTATTTTTGAATAAAATTACCACTGCACCAAATCCGTTTTGTATTTTTGTCTTCTTTTTTCACTACACATCTAAATCTATTAGTTGCATTATCTACTTTAAAATTTGCATCTTTAATCCCCATTATAGTTTGATATATCATGTTTTGTATTGTCAAATAAATTATATAACTATTATAATATAACCAAAAGTAGTACTACATGAAACTTGCCAAAAAATTACCATTTTTTCATTTACTCCTAATTTTTTGAATATTTTCCAAAAATATTTTCTGGATATTGAGCAGATGTGAGACCTTCTAATTTAAGTACTTCTTTATTCATGGCTGAAAAATATTTTTTTTAAAAAAATAAATAGAACTAAAAAATCATAGGAAAAAAAAATATTATGTTGCCTTTTATGATTAGTAATACAATTGGCAGGAGAATTACTAGTTTTAGTCCAAATTATTTGGCTTTCGTTCCAAAAATATTTTTTTAGGGAATGAGCAGATCTTTCACGCTTTACTTCAATTTTCTCTTTCTTTATTCATGGCTAACCATCTACTTTAAAAAAAAAATATTCTAACACCATTTCGATAACAATTTTTTTCTCAAAAAATTCTAAGTTAACTCTTGGCTATCCAACCATGTGGGCTGCGACTTGGGTCTACATCAAAAGGATGCTGAGCCTAAGGAGGATTAGTCTGGGGCTGAACGGTCTGAGATTTACCTCCGGATATAAAAAAAAAACTTAGTTAATTTAAAGTTTTTAAACAAAAAATTGATGTATAAGGTGTTGTTATTAAAATTAGAG